TGTAACGAACAATCTCTTCTCAGCACCTGATGTCTGAAACTCTGAATTTGCTTACCGGTTAAGAATAATATGCATATTTATTAATATATATATATATATATATATATATATATACGAGCTCTGTTATATTGCATCGAGCACGATCTTTTAACACCTGTACTCTATGTGCGATGAATATATATATATATATATATATATGCATAAATTTCATAAATGTGTGTATATATATATATATATATATATATATATATATATATGAATCTCACACACACACACACATACATATATATATATATATATATATATATATATATATATATATATATATATAGTACATTAATCGCAATCGATCTTCGAAAATTTTTCAGGAGAAATGTTTTGTTGACAGCTTTTGCACAAACTACATCAAAAGAACAACATGCATTGGAAGGAGAAGAAATTCAACAAAGACTTCTCCTAGCAGCCGTGCCAAGTCTGAAAACCAATTTTCAAAAAGACTGTATAGTATTGTCCTCAGTTTCGACAGCTCCTGTAGTAGTAGTTCTGGCAGCGTTCCTTCATCGTCTAGTTAACCGTTACTCATTAGTTTCTGCTGACCTTAAATTAACTGTACGAATAAGTTAAGTTTATCAGAATTATAAATGAATCGAGAAGGGGTCTTTACATTATTATAAGTGCATTTTTCAGAATAAAACTGTCAAAATTTTTGTTCTCAAATTTGTATATATATGAGTTGGTAAGCATTATTTTAATGCTTACTAGATGATAAATACATAATTAAAAATTGGCATTTACGCTTAAACTTTTTAATAATATGATTTTAACAAATTTATATTTAAAGTATCAAAAATTCAAAATAGGCTGGCATGAAGGCAGCCTATCATTTTACTGGATGGCAACTTGATGCGAATGAAATTTTTGCGTTTATTTCATCAAATGTCACTAATGAACACTACACGTGAAACAAAATCGATAGTACGTACTACATAACTCGATCGATCATTGCACGTGGAGCAAAATAAATTGTACACACTACCCATCCCAATCGATCTCGCACACGCGTCTTATACCTACGTACACTTCACTCATCGGTGCACACTTTCGTTTGCACTTATTCTTTTTTTTTCTTAAGGAAGGATATTTTTTTTGCCGTCAAGTTAATACAAACTAAACAATTTCAGTACCAAAACGGGAACTCCATGGGAAAAAGTGGTATTTTTCATAATGTATTTATGACACATTGTGGTGTCAGTTTTGATTTTGAGTTGATTGATCTAAACACAAATTATGTGCAAATTTTCATCGGAAAGCTGCTAACCACTACAACTGAAAGACTAATGGGGCAGCAAGGTGTTCATGGGTCATCTTATGGGCCCCTTATGTAGATTTCAAAATTTGATAATCGTTTTTTATTTATTTTAAAATTGTAAGATACATGTAAAATTCCGTCGAAATCGAAGCAATTTGAAAGTTTTGGGGTCCCAAATTTCAAACCAAATGTCAGATTTAAGACTAATATTACTTGAAATAATAAGGCACATATTTTTTAAGTTTTCTATTTAATCAACTTTATGCTCAAAGCTGTAGAGTTAATTGAAAATTTCAGGGTTCCCTGCTGGTCCTCTACATCGTGGGGGTCCCTGTGTTGATTTTCAGTGAATTCCAAGTGACTACTTCAGTTACACGATATAATTTCTATATGTACTGAAATTTTCGTTGAAACTGGGGAGTACTGCTACAAAATACACTTGAAATGTAATTGAGGCATCAAGGGGCTTATATGGTCATCTTGGGGGCCCCCCTCATGCATTTTAAAGTATCTGGCATTAGATTTCTATCTCATTGAAAGAGCGTTAAAAACATGCAAATTTTCATGAAAATCGAGGGCAATTTTAATTTTTAGGGTCTCTTTGGGGCACCCTGGGGGTCCCATTTTCGAGAGAAACGAAAATCCATAAAGCGCATACACTTATCAATTTTCATTAAGATCGGCCTCAGGGTTTAGACTTCAAGTCTGAAAGTTTAAAAACAACCAGACTAATGGAAATTCCCATTTAAACAGTATATTTATCGATTGATTTTTGAAAAATGACTAATTTTTTTTTTGCCCACACGCACACAGTATCGAGTACAATCTATGTTCTAAATTTGGTAGAAATATGCTTTATGGTTCTCGAGTAGTTCGCGAACACACATACGCACATACACACACATGCACCTTGCCAGTTTTATATCTATAGAAGAAGATAGATAGATAGATAGATAGATAGATAGATAGATAGATAGATAGATAGAAGCAGAGAGTGAGAGACAGAAAATAGATAAATGCAGAGTTAGATACATCGAAAATAATTAGATAGATAGATAGACAGATAGTAAGATACATAGAAAATAGATAAATAGATAGCTAGATAGAGACAGAGTGATGTGACACTATTTAGGTAGCTAGAAAGAAAGAAGAAAAAAGAAAGGCGAGAATTGAATTTAGGTGATAAGAAGCCATCACGAAAAGGACACTAAGCGATGTTATTCTTTTTAACAAAGAAAAATGCTAGAGGTTTTATTCTCATTAGCGAGGAAAGTAAGGTCGCGGATGTGTCGGATTTAATTTAATTTATGACGACGCACCGAATAAGATATATCCAATCTGCCCATGGCAATGGTAAAAAATTCAAGTTGGACAAGCGACCTCCTTCAGAGTGCTGGGAGATAAAAATTAATTAGGTCAAGCTTGACCGAAACAAAAATGTCCGTTGAACCACCTCCATGTCATTTGGGAAAAACACCTGTTTATTGTCAGGGCTGGCTATGATAGCAAAATTATTTTATCAGAACGAATAATTGGCACCAAGTTGCGATACGTCCAATTGACCACCCACTTGTTTGGCGAAGGTCGCGAGTGACGAATTCCATATGAAATTCGGTTAAGATAAGAGTCTAAGGACATGTTGTCGGGCAGAAGAAAGGAAAAAAAGGAAGAAAAGAAAAAGGAAGATATTTTTTTTTCTTTGAGCAAGATTTCTTTAAACCGAGGCCAGTGCTGGGCGCCCATTGGCTGAATGCTGTCATGAGCGGCAGGCGAAGGTAATCATGTGAAGAAGGAGGGGAGGCCTGTTGAAACCCTTTTCCTGAAGGGATCGGTCTGAGATGCCACTGTGAGAGAGAGGGGAAACCCGTTGACACCCTCTGGGGGTATGGTGAGATACCAATATGAGAACAGGAGAAGGTGGGAAGACGAAAGACTTCCAAAAAATAGAAAATAATAAATTTACCTGACCGAAAACAAAGAAGTTGATTGTGGATTAAGAATTATCAAGGAACATCAAACCCCGACAAGCCCACCCCGGTTTTGGTCGGTGTCCATATAAGCAGAGTCGCAGCGAGTGAAAGGCAATTTCTAGTTGAGTTGGCAGTTCGAGTTAAGTTCGCAGTTCGCAGCTGAGTTGGATTGAGTTGGGCCCGCCTCGCAGGAACCTGACTGAAAGATTCCACGCAAATCACGACCTCAACTTCTAACCAAGAACAATTTATTTTTTAAGAAAGACTTAGACTCACACCACCAAAGCAAGTTTTACGAATATCGCCTGAAGATACACCAAGAACCAGTTTCTTAAAGAACAAACAACTTAAGATGTAAAGACTCGCCTAACAAGCATAAAGTGTCACGAATCCATATAGCTGTTTGGGAGAAAGATGCAGTCCTGTATTTCGCAACCAGATATAAAATATTGTTTTCCTTTTTAACACATTTGAACTTTTCGAGTTATTATTTTATTTTATTTTACATATACTTGTGCGGTATTGCCCTTGTTCGGACCCGACTTGCATTACGGCCCGGCGACTGATTGATTTCGTCTACCTAAGATCAAATCACAACGTAGGTTAGACTAGAAATCAAAGCAGTTACTTCGGTAACCAGACGTTGGAGGCGAGCTGGGAACGGCAAGGCTGATACCGAATCTAACCAGATTCCCATCCGAATCATCAAAAGGTTAGAACGTCACAGTGAGATACATAGAAAATAGATTGATAGATAGATAGGGACAGAGAGTGAGTTAAATCGAAAATAAATTGATAGATACATAGATAGATGCAGATAGTGAGAGACATTGAAAATAGATAGAGACAGAGAGTCAGACGACCCGAAAATAGACAGACAGACAGGCATATATATATATATATATATATATATATATATATATATAGATAGATAGATAGATAGATAGATAGATAGATAAGACATAGAAATTGAACTGCTACACATATCAGCCAGATACTGTTGAATGTTGATTTTATAATACAGTGAGAAACATTTTTTAGCAAGAGCGACATAGAATCTTTCTCTCTCTCTCTCTCTCTCTCTATATATATATATATATATATATATATATATATATATATATCGCTTTGTCGAGTATATTTTTTTAGTATAAGCACAGTGAATAGATTATTTCTCACACGCACTAGCAAGTAGTTAGCGAGATTTCCTATTAGGGACAATAAAAGTAGTCAATAGATACCATATGTACTCCGATATTTAATACTACAAGCAAATCCTTCTGCTTGTGAAATTACTACGCATTTGATTTTCATTAAGTAAAAAAAAAAAAAGCGGATTTGGTATATTGTCTCGAGGACAGCAGTAGAGTCTAACAATACAAGAGATAAATCCCACTACCGAATAACGATCGTAGTCGCTAAGTACCAGTTATAGCTATGTACTTAAGTATATATCCTTCCGTGACAATATTACAATTGGATGATGAAAAAACAATTTCTAAATAATGATGATGGTAAAAGCACAATGATTTTCTTAGAGTACCATGCAGACTATTCCACCAGTATGAATTCACATAATATATTGACACAAAAGATTAAATTTCTCATGGTGGTTTTAGTTAAAACTATGAATTCATTCCACTTCTGTCAGACATGTCTTACATGAGCAATGATTAATTTATTAGGTACATTTTTCTTTTACAGCGGCCTCAGATGTTCTTAATGTCCCTTAGGTTTACATTCCAATGGTGTTATATGGGACTGTCTTTCATTAATGAATATGTCTGGATTTTAATTTGTGACACGTAGCGTCTTAGTATTAAATTTAGGCCTATAGTCTAAAATTTATGATACGGCATTAACGATTCATTTATTGGCAACAAGTGTCCAATAGTTATTCAGGAAACATTCCCATATAATCCCACAATCAGCTTAGACCCTTGATTAACAACAAGAGGAATGGATAATTTCTTTTGTAGAATACGTAATGGTGATATTACTATAATATTGAGGCATAATCGAGATGGCAAAAATCAACATATTTCCAAATTTCTATTGCCCAAATTTTGTGATGCTTAGTCAACCGTAGTCTCATTTTTTGTTTTATTTTTTTTTTTGTTTTTTTGTTTGTTTTTTTTTGTTTTTACTGCAATTGTGGGCAACATGGTCGGATGCCACTCGATCTCATTTGCTTCATGGTTAGACGTGCTGTGAATTCAAATATGTTCTTTCCTTTTCAAACTTTAACCTTTCTTTGTGTTGGAATCCGTCCGGCCATTCTCCTGCGACCTATTTCTTCAACAGTGTTTTCGCCCTCTGGAATATTTTTTTTTAAATTTTTCTTCAATATCCTCTCAAAACAAAATTTCTTTCTTTCTTCACCATCCTCTCTAAACCCAAGAGAAGTTGTTGTGCGTGAGAATTCTTGCAAAGGCACAGATTTTGAAATATTCACACAGGCTCCTTTCGAGCCAACCACTTCAAAGTCGCTCAAGTCCTCATTCTTTTTCGACATAAAATGCCTGAATTGAAATTCAGCAGGTCGCCATGACCAGGTTTAAACTCTTATATCTCTCGAATTGCTATTGCGTCAGTAGTTGATGAGAAATTTACGTCGATTGATTCGTATTATGGCTTATCAACCCTTTGTGAGGTATTTAAAGCTGAAACACGTTACGGATTGTACGAATTTGCTTACATTACCAGGTGTTTCCACGTGATCTCGCATCTAATACTGACCAGCTTCAGCCTGGCTTAACTTCAGGGATCAAAAGAGAACTACTGTTGCTATCGATATTTGATGGCAGGCTTAAGAAACTTGTGTGTCTCCAGAATTTCCCTTGAATCTATCAGTTATGATTTTTTTTCCTTTATTATAATTTTTTAAAAAAATTAGCTAAGTGCTTTAGTTCGCCGTTTGTTTTATCTGTTGAACGCAGTTGAGGATAGGAAGATGTGTCCTATGTTGGCATAGGCTGGGACAGGGCGAGGGGATTTTAAGAAATAATTTTGAGTTGCCCCTACAAAACCTCTCACGTTACACATACACAATGTATTCTCGGTCGGTCAATAGATGGGGCTAGTACTGCTGGATTCGTAAGAGTTGGCAGAAAGACGTTGGGTCTTTTCGACTCAATCTTCAGATTTTATCTTAAAGAATTATTTCAGAAGTATGGTCACAGGATAGCGGATGTTTCAAAACAAAGATTTACTTCTCTGGATATTCTGCACACCTCAGCTAACGAATTCCATCAATTTGATTGAAGTATTACGTCTTTCATTGCATAACTATATCACACGGTATGGCTGGCAGGTTGATCCAGTTCTTATACTAATTGACGCTAAACAAGAACAACCTCACTGATTTAGCTGAAACTAGGCAAAGATAATCAGCCGTGGAACATATTAATGCAGGAATAAATAAATTGGTGCAAATAATTAATAACGAAAAACGTAGGCTTAAATGTTATTTTAATATACCCAAGGTAATATCTGAAACAATAAAAGTATACACACACACACACACACACACACACAGAGACACAAAGACACACACACACACACATATATATATATATATATATATATATATGAAAAAATATATATATATAAATATATATATAAATATATGTATATATAAATAAAAAAGAAAGAACAGTAAGATATATAATCCAGTGTTCTTATAGATATTTTATTTTTACAAAATAGTGCTCAATGTAAATTTACAGACCATTAATATTATAAATTAATTGATTTAAATTATGTTTTTTGCTAAACAGTTCTAACCATGTTTAGAACTGTTAAAAACTATTTTAAATCGGAAAAACATATTTAAATTAATTATATATATATATATATATATATATATATATATATATATATATATATATATATATATATATATATATATATATATATATATATATATATATATATATATATATATATATATATATATAATATAAAAAATGGAAAAAACAACAAAAAAAATTTATATACAATTATGTTGTTTTAATATTAACATTAAAACAGCATAATTGTATATATGACATTTGTTTGTTTTTTTCCGTATATATTTTTCTTCATACTGTCGAATTTACATCCATA